GGCTACCTTTCAAGATGGCGCAGGGAACTGTGAAGAAGACTTATATATGTATTATAGCCTTATCATATGTCTCAGTAATTGTTAAAACAATCATTCAATTGAACTGAGATATAACTATCATCCTAATCAAGACATCTATTATTGAGTATTTCCATTTCCATTTTTAYAACGGACCGTCTCACATGGCCCCTAGKTAGGCAGGCGCAAAGCCGGAAGCCAGTTTAACATTGAGACGTACTTAACACACAAACCAAGGTCTACTATAAGAATCAACTGGCTGCTGATTGTAAAACATTAAGTGTCGCTATGAAAACATGTCCTCTTACTCACCATCTCTCAAGATACAAGGAATTAAAACTTGCTCGCATAAATGAACCCGGTCTTTAGTTTTCGACGTCGTCAATTTCAAAGCACATTCTTTGAGTTTTTCAGCGACCTCGTGTAACATAAAAAAGCACATGAACTATGATTGAAAACTACAAAGAATTTTTAAAAATCTGTTTATAGAAAGGAGATTTAAGTACATTTTTCAAAAAAATATAATAAAACTTACCTCAGCCGCCATTTTGAATTTAGAGACACGCGTACTTAGGAGCCTGCGTTCACAACAAATAGCGGATTGCTAGTGCCTAGTCTTCCCTACTTGCCGCAGAGGGACATGACTGACAAGATCCACTTCATGAACGCACCGTGTCCATGTTGCGTATTAAAAGCGTATAGAATTTGCCGCTGTGGAATATGTTTTTTATAGCGCCGTGATTTATTTGATAGATTCTGCTAATATCTTTTCACATCATTTATTTTGAAAATTTAGCATTCGTTTTGCATTTTACAAAGAAAAAAAATTGAAAGTATATTTTAAAGAAAGAAAGAAAGTAGATAAAAGTACGAAGGCGCGAAGGTCAAGAAGAACGTTTTCAACGATTTAGAGATCCGATATAGTGAGACCCGGACTGCCGATGTGCGATTTCAAAGCAACTGTCAAGCGGCAGAGAACAAGCAGAGCATCCAATTTTTTCACATTAAAAAAAATAAGAAGAATTTTACAAAACCGAATAGCACTGAAAAGAAAAAGGTAAAAAAAAGAAGAAAGAAAAAAAAATGATAGGCAATAAGGTAGCCGTGAGGTCAGCCATCCACTAGCCGGGGAGAAGCGTTGCGTGACGACACAGGGGCGGCTGCTAAAGGAGGCTACCCATCCACATGTTAGGCAGATGATCGGGGGAGGAAATAGACGGACCCCAGGCGCTGATGTCTACCCCTGTGCACTACTGTAACACGGTTATGACGTAGCGCGTAAAGTTTAGGATTTATATGTTTGGAGGGACAGGAAGCCCGGCAATGCCGGGTAGGCTTCAAAGGAGATTAGCTTTGCAAGCTTGCAACGGTATTGCGGTTTTTTTGTTTTGTTTTTTCATTGATGAGATCATTGTGTTTAGCATTTTTGGCAAAAAGAAAGCTGAAGAGACATACAAATAAATAAATCTTCTATAGATTGTTGTTACAACTATTCCGGTTGTATTATCAAACATTATCATTTAGATTATGATTACTAATGGAAGAGGGGAAYATGAAAACAGCCTCATTCTTTAATCAATTTTTAGCATTAGAAGCATTCGAAGAAAAAAAGGAGGAAAAGTCAAAAGAGAAATACATAACATCAATAACGCGCGCTAATAAAAATGTCATTTTCAGCCAATGCATGAATCGAAGGCGTCACGCATTGACTTCCGCTGGACGGGAAGAGTGCAGGCGAGAGGGAGAAAATAGTTCAAAATGGCGGAAAAGTATCGTTGGATTGAAAAACTAGGAAAACATCCCTTATTTGAGTCTCTTGTTGCAGAATCAAAAGGAAAACTACCTCATAATGAATCAAGGAATCTTCTTGCCGAGAGAAATGGTGAAATTTTTGTTTGGTGTCCGTCAAAAAATCGTGTTTTGACTACGAACCTGAAGAATGTGCTGTTTGACAATCCTTGCGCCAAAAATTATCAAGTGAGTTGCGGATTATTTGGAATTGAAATTAATTATTGCTATTTCTACAGTAGTAATGCATATAATAGATATTTATGTGCTTCGTCATATTTAATGGATGCTATATATTGGAAAATATCTAAATATACCAACCCAACCGCACACATGCGTCTTCAAAGCGCGCTCCGAATACTTAAGCTAATACTAAATATATTATAGTTCTAACCTTGTTGTGTTATTATATAAATTTTTCTTTAGTTTCTTGTGTATCCTTTTGTATACATTCGTTTTTCTTGCAATAAATGTATATTCTGTTAGTTGTGTGATAGGCTTCTTGTGCTCTGGGCTTCCTGTGTTTCTTCTACTTCCTTAAATCATTCTTCTTTCATTAAAGACACTTCTAACATCAAAGTTTGACTCTCTTAGGAGATACTGTGTGGAGGCCTTTGTTTCAATATCCCATATATGGATCAATATTCTCATAAAATGAAAGAGTTGATATTCCTTAGTTTTCATGTAACTAAAGTGAGGTACATGTACCATAATTTTGAAACAAATTTTACTTTTTTTTATAGGCACTTATGTGTACAAGCCCTCCTGTATTTGAAGTTCATATGATGAGRTTTAGTGTGACAGGGAAGTACTTGGCTCTWGTTGGTGAAAAAGGTATTACAGTAATAGAAATGCCACAGCGTTGGGGGAGGTTTGCWGAGTATCAAGGTGGTTCCCATACCATCAACTGTAGGTATGTTATAACCAGAAATACTGAAAATGGCARCACTTTGCAAAATGATATAATTCAGTGTATGTTTTGGTCAAAGAGATAGAATCAAAGAGATAGGTYAAGCTATATATTAAATGATAGCCTACTTTTTTTCTGCCATTTATTAGCTCTATCATGCAAATAATAAGTTTATAATATTGACCATATGAAAAATGARCAGAAGACCTGGAATGAGSAGCTTAAACAGTCCATGTTTTTAAAAATCTGCTTTCACTATTAGAAACAGTATATCTAAACTAGTAAACTGGAGTAGTTTTAGTTACTAATGTTGAAYATCAGCAGAGTTACAAGCATTTGAAATGTACCAAAAACRTGAAAACAAGGCTGGTAAGGCCTCGATACTGATTTTCACTCAAACCTTTGCAATTTYAAATCCCTGTAATTTCTGGCCCTTAAATGTTAGAGCATTGAAMCTTTCAGATCTTATTCATTGTAATATGTTCTTKCAACGTGCAGTAATGATATATTAAACATCTTATAAACTAAGGYATTACCATAGCCACACCCTTTTTCATATGGTCTATGAGATTGATAATTTTGTAATTGTATTGTCATATTGGTGCTCAAAAATAGGCTTTCATTGTTTGTGAGTGACTATGCTATTCCTTTACCTATTTTTTTTTTTTAATTGCTTGGAAATTAAGAAACATTTTCACTAATCTGTGTTGTTAAAATGTTATGAAAATGATATGACTGTCACATATTTCTTTTATTTATAAAGTACATGAAAGGAGTCTGTTCTTGGCTAGTTTAAACGTGTTTTAAATTGTTTGATTTAAGAACTATCCCAGTTGATGAAAGGTTTTTCACTGTTCATGCCAATGCAATGGTACTTGAGGTGAAGTGGCATCCAGCAAGCACCTTGGAYAGTCACCTGGTTGTACTGGTGTCAGATAATACTTTAAGGTGAAGTATAACAATATAACGAACTAACATAACAATATAACGAACTGAGTGGTAATTGTTATAGTTTCCATCRAACAATAGGGCAAATTTCATTCAAAATTATCATGGTCTATTATCATCGGCATCATCATCATTATTATTATGTATGGTCTATTAATAGACCACACATAGTTCAGTAGCCAATCAGAATGCTTGACTTACATGTAGTTTGGTGGATACTAATAATAATTAATCAATTGATCATTAATGAATTATTGATGAATTGATCATTAATTAATCATTGATTAACCATTAATAATAGTTGATTTCCAATATATTTTCAACAGAATTTATAATATTATAAAGCCTGAAACCCCAGATCAAGTTATCAATCTTGGTGATCCATTCTCTAATGATGTCAGTCACAGTAGAGGAAGATTGACGTCCACATCTGCCTTTGCTATAGCTCTTGGAGAAACATCAATAGCTTTTGACTTTGCTCCTCCTGTCAGCAAATCAAGGTTAAGCCATCACAGACGAAGACAAGAAGAACAAGAAGTTGTATATCCCATGTTCATTTTACGAGAAAATGCTGATGTATATTATTTGATATTTGAACTTGGGAAAAAAGGGTGAGCCAAAAAATGTTTTGTTTAAGTGTAGATTGGAAGACATCCTCTTAAATCCAGTCAATGGGATATTAGCAGAAACCTATAAGGGGCTTGAAACGTGTAACGCCCGTAAATTTCTTTAGTACCAAGCGTCAGAATATTCAAAGCTCATTAAAAATTTGAAAACGAACATTATGACCATATTTGGAAAATTCGGCTGTTGGATAACAGATTTAAGGCACTTTCTGATTAGCTAGGGTAGATTTAATTGTTCCAAATAAGGAAATGAGGTGCAAATTAGATTTGAACATTCCAACAGATGGCATGGCGCTACATGTTTCAAGTCCCTTATAGGTTTCTGGTATAAGTAATTCAGCAATGTTATTGTTAAGTTAGTTAATGGATTTATTTATGACTTTTTGAGGAGGATTTCAAGCACTACTGTGTAGAATATATTTATTTAATATTTACTAATTTTGAAGAAATGATATTATTTATATGTTTATTCATTTAGTTAATTAATAAATAAAATTACAGGTTAAGCCATGAAATGGTTGGCCCTCTCACTATGCACCCTGCGACTGAAAACAATTATGGTCTAGATGCATGCTCTTTACTCTGTCTGCCAGTGCAGCCTCCTGTTGTTGTCATGGCAACAGCAACAGGTCGAATCTACCAYTGTATAGCCTTAGAAACACCTGGAGAAGATAGTGACTTAGAGCCAGGCTCTGACGATGAGGTAACAATGTATACCAAAATGATCTTGTTCTTATAACTATTTTTCAAAATTTGTATGCTAGTTGGTGGATCCTTTATTATCTCGCTGTTCAATTGCTGAATTTCTTACTGATATTCTTTGACTAATAACAGAGCGAAAAGCCCTCAACACCAGACATTATTCTTTATGTACATGAATGTGTGGAGCTACAACGTTCTCTCAGTGGACGCGATGCTGATGAAGTATCATCAACTGTCACTCAAAGTGAGGAGTCTTTTGATTCACTCAATTCATGCCCAGTAAAGCTCTATCCAGGTTAGTTTAAGGAATGCAAAAAAAATAAGTGAATAGTGAGAAAATTCTTTGATTATTTTCTGTCATAGCTTCTCTAATGTAGAATTTTTTTGATCATTAGTACCTACAGTAGTAGATAAATAATTAATCAAGAAATTCTACAATTATTATAATTATTATTTATCTATTTTGGCATTTCTGAAAAAAATTATAATATTGCAAACCAAGTAATTCAGATGATAATAATTATAATTCAAGCAWAACACYCAGTTGYTTTTTTCCTTTGATTTTGTTGTTGTGTCATTGTTGCTTGGGTTAAGGTAAAGTAGCAGTGTGTCATGAATTATGCTAAGATTTTTAAAGAAATATGATTTAATGGGGATGATGTATGTTGTCTTTTTTTTACCTTTTTTAATTAATAATTATCCTCAAATCTTTACAATTAGATTAAGAGCTTTTTTAAACAAATTTTTGGGATGATGTTAATTAAATTATATTATTAAAATAAAAAATGAATTCAAAATATTATAGATAATTCAATATGGCCTCAATTATTGTTGTTTTTTACTAGATGATTCATCAAATAATGAGTATCACTGCAGTCACCCTTCTGGAGCACACACTATTGTAATGCCWTGGATACAAAAGTTACAACAATTCTTTGTACCTGGTAAATATGACAAGCATATATATAAATAAATATATAAATTGAATAAATTGAAGAAAAAGGCACACAACTTGCAACTATTATAAATAAATATATATAAATATAATACAGCACTTTTCAAAAATCTTGCAGAAATTGCAATATCAGAGTATCTTTTCTCTTTGATTCAAATTACTTTTAGTTGTCTTTCAGTTGTTATCTGCCCAATATTTTTTATTTATAATATATTAATCATAAATGAAAAAAATTCTGAGGATGATAGATGGACTGCTGAAACATGTTTTTTATATAACATGATAATGTCCGTGCAATTTTGATATAATTGAAGAGCTATTATTAAGTAATTCTATAAAAGTTGATGATCTGATTGGGATCTTTGTTGTGTTACAGATAGTATTGAGGGAGCTACAATGTTTGATACTGATGAAGAAGCTTCAGTATATCACATGGTTTGTACGACTCCTACTTCTGACAGGTAATCACACAGGAAATGTCCATGCTTTNCTACTTAAGAGATCTTTTCCAACACCTGAGAAGAGTTCAGAGCATGAAGACAGTACTGATGGGTATGTGATTTTGATATTTTTTTACAGTCCGATAAACTATACCTTTACTGAGAAGACTTTTAGAACCAGTCAAACACTATGTTTRCTCTAGAATAGACTCTTGACTTCAAATCTAAGGGGAAAAAATGGAGTCTTTTTTTCTATCATGGATGTACCTCAACATATTGCAAACTCTTTAAACTATAGGTTATAGCCCTTTTATCAGAAAGGAAAAACATTTCATATGGTATCTGAACATAGTTTGTGTTCAATTTTGGATTAAAAATGCTAAAGATATTGATTTTATCTTCAGGACAAGTTTGTCTCCAATGCGCCATCTTCTTTCTGGTTCATTTGTGGAACACATCAGAAAAATATTAACAAGAAACACATCTAATCCGTTACTAAATAGGTAACTCCAACATGTTTCAGCTTACTAACTAGGTAGCTCAGTTACATACAGGAATAACCCTATCTGTCTCCAGCTAAAGTACTCAGATGCAGGATAAAMAGAACAATGGAATGATCAAAAATTAAAAGAATTATAGAAAAAGAAAGCAATATGTCCATTCTTTTGATAGTGGTTTCCTTCATTTGTGGATGTGACTGACTTAGTCAATCTTGCATTGACCTTCATTTGCAATTTTAGTTGTTTCACTTTTAAATCCTTTAAATTATGTTCATATTGTCAACAGATCAGCCAAAAAAACAAGAGATCTAACACAGAAAGATTGTCTTGAGATTTTAACTGAGGCACAGCAAGTATTCAGAGAGGAGTATATCCAGAAGCAATATCGAGCTAAAGAAGAGATCGACAAAAGGTATTCAGACATCAGTATAATAAAACTGTCTACCACTTTTATTGTTATAATATAAATATATGTAGAATAATATGGTCTTAAGTATGTGACTGTACATAAGTATTGTATCGCATCTTTTTGTGCTAAGTGTTTTTGTTTTATTGTGTCYAGAATATCAGTTTTAAAAGACCAAAAACAAAAACAGCAAGAGGATCTAGAAAGCCTCTTAAACAATCAGAGATCTGTAAAAAGTAAAGCTGAGGAATTAGCTGAAAAAATCGAAGATGTGGCAGCACAAGACATTGATCTCATGGACAGGTAAACAATACATCATACTTATCATGATACTTAATATCACCTTTCATATTCAATATTATTGGACATCACATAAACAATTGTGCAGGCTTTCATACTGGGCAGGGGGGGGGGAGACTCAGTAAAATCCCCTATTGGGTTA